TTTGTGGTCTTTGGGGGGGACCCCCCCCCCCCCCCGTTATTTTATCTGTGGCCTGTAGGGGGTTAGGGAGCTAACTGTTTCAATAGCCCAAAATGTCCATGCTACACACAGCACTGGAAACACAAACTGGGAAGTAGGTTAGGTTCTGCTCTGCAAACGTACTGGCTGGGGTGACAGCAGCTGATCCGAGCTGGGGACTGAAAACTTCAGTGCAGGACTCCAAGAGTCCCCCGTCACTGCTGCTATTTAAGAAACGAGCACAAGAGACTGTGAGGGCGGAGATTTAAAACTAAGATTTAGTGTTTTAAATCACTAAACACTAGAGGGTCACAAAGGGCTTTATAATACCCAAAGGGCTATATCACAAAAACCCTGCAGACTATCTACACATCAGTAGTTTTAGCCCTTTCAATCGGACAAAGCCTTTCATGCCATGTAAGTCTTCTCTTACCTCATGGTAATTCAGACCTGAACCCTGTGTTCAGTGGAGTTGTTCCAGATTCACACCTAATTAAAAAAGAGCTGAATGTGACTCTGTATGGACAGAGACCTAATTCTGCCCTTATGAGTGACTGGTGCCACCTTAGTCGGGAGGGGGGGGCACGTGCCCCTCAGCGACCAGTCAGCAACTAGGCGGAGGTACCCCCACAGCCGAACTTGCTCATGGGGAGGGGTCCCCCACAACTGATCGTGACGTGGCCGATTACTGTGGCCACTTTTGGGAGCACCATGGTGCTCCACTCCCTGGCTGACACTTGCAGGGGGCTCACAGGCACTCCCACCTGCCCCCCTGCCCATCCCCTAAGCGGTGAGCATGGCCATTCAGGAGGTGCACCAGCACTCTCAAGAGGTCCCGTACACCCCCTATGCATCGCCACTGTCTGCCCTCAAGTGACCCAACAGCAAGTGTCTTAATAGCAAGCTGAACGCAGAATGTAGCTCTAGCTCAGAGTTTCCCAAACTTTTGATACCCAGGGCATCCTGGGGTTTTTTCTTGATTAAAATTGACCATACACTTCATTTGCTGGTCTGTGGGCTTTCCTGTTTGTGGGTCCCATTCAGTGGGGCCAGCCTGGCCAGGGTCCTATCCCACCCATTTTTTGCAGTGTCCTATCCCACCCATTTTTTGCACTCTCATGGCACACTAGTGTAACCACTCTCATGGCACAGTCATTAGGAATCACTGTTCTCACTAGGAGTTTCCTGTCCTGGCTCATGAAGTTTGAACAAGTTGGGATGAATGTTTGGAAATCAGGGAGACATGTTTTTCTGCTCACAGGCAGTAGCTGCAGCCACCCTCTGTCCTATACTTCCAGTGGCCTCCAGCTCAGACTCCCCCTCTGTTCTCTAGGACAGTGTTTCCCAACCTTTTCCAGCCCAAGGCACACGTGCATTAATAAAAATTTTCCATGGCACACCTGTTAAGGCATTCCCCATCCTCATACCTATTGCAGCTCATTGCCATGGCAAAATTTTGTGGCATACCTATGCATTTCTGACAGCACACTTTTGTGCAGCAGCACACTGGTTGGGAAACACTGCTCTACGACATGGATCAAGAAGAGGCTGCCAACTTAGGTCAGGGGGTTTCCAAGAGACATGGGGCATGAAGGAAAATGCATGTGCTTGGAGTGGGAGTGATGGTGGTAGGCACCAGACAACAGATAAGAGGAAGTAACAATGAATTCCCACCAAAGCCTCATTTGAAGAAGTTTCTCTTTACTCCTAGCTGGGCACATCTACACAAGGTGCTACTATGCAGTGGTTACTGCGCATTTATTTAGTACTTATATAATCAAGTAGTAAATAAATGCACAGTAACCAGAGTTACTGCGCATTAGCACTTGCAAATGCTTTTTTTGTGCTGCTACTGCACAGTAGCCTAATAATACTGTGCAGTGGTGTTTTAGTACTGTTTGTGCTGCAATGAGCTACTGTGCAGTATTATTCAGTTACTGTGCAGTTAGCATCTCATGTAGACATACCCACTGTGTCCAAAGTGCACACAAGTTGACAGGAGTGTTAGGACAATAAAACAGCTCTGGAGCTTAGAATCATAAAAGCCCAGAGAAATAGGGCTGGAAAGGACCTCCAGAGGTCATCTAGTTCAGCATTTCTCAACCTGTGGGTCACAACTCAAAAGTGGGTCACAAGAATATATGACAGGGTCATGAACAGACTTTAAAAATGGATCAACAAATTTTAAAAATAGATTCTTCTTTAAAAAAGAAAAAACTTGGGAAACTGTGGCTTTTCCCTTGCAGGCTGGCAGACTGGCAGCCTGTAAGGGGCTGCTTAGGGCTCCCTATGCCACACACACAAACCCTTCCTGCCCCACACACTGGGGGACTGGGACCTGGAGCCAGGGGGGCAGCGGGTTAGAAGTGAGGGGCACAGCATCAGGACTGGCTTGATGATTACAAATGGGTCCTGCTACACAAAAAGTTGAGAACCACTGATCTAGTCTAACCCCCTTCCTGAGGCAGGATCATCCCTATGCAAACCATCCCATACAAACTAATCTAAACTGTACATAAAACTATCATCAGCCCCAACACAACACAGACCTGACACCCTAACCTGACACAGGTCAAGCAGGGGGACCCCAACAGCCAACATTATGCTTCTATGAAATGTTGTCAATGTATGCTCAAGAGATCCCAGGTAGAGGGCCACACCACCCTGAGCAGAGGGACAAGACCATCTAGCCAGGAACCTCTGGCTTTGGTCTCAGCAGGAGCATTGACACAGCACAGTCAAAGTCCCCACTGTAGCCAACACCCAATGCCTCGGAGGAAGGCTTAAAAACACCCTGAGACATGTAGCAGAAAAGGGGTAGAGGCAACCAGCAAAGCCCACAAGCCTGAGAAATACCCATACTTGTCCAGCTAGCACCTATGTTGGGAGTGGCGGGGGAGAAGCAAACTTTGTAAACTAATGGGACTTGTGGCCACAAGACAAGTAGGAAAACACATTGCTTTAGCCTGTTCCTGATCCATCCTCCCTACCTCAGTGCCCTGCTCCTCAGAAATGAAGAAAAAGGAAGAGTAGCAGGAAAGCAGCCCGTCCATTTCCCCACACACTCAACTACTTGGTGACTGGCTGGAAACACAACCAAAACTATAAAATCCTGCTTTCTATATGGAGCATGGATGGAGGGGTGCCCCTTTGTTGAGTAAGAACCTGCCACAGTGCCAACAGCAGAGGAAATCCCCTCTCCCTGCTTGAAATCACAGGATCATAGTGATTCACATGGTAAACCGGAGAAGAAATCCGAAAATGATCTGGTGCGTGGGAGACCAGAGTTATAATGGACAAAAAGCTGAAAGAACTAGTGTTATTTAGCCTGGATAAAAGAAGACTGAGGGGGGATTTGATAACAGTCTTCAGACACCAGAAGGGCAATTACAGGGAGGATGGAGATGGACTTTTCTCTGTGGCTGCAGGGGACAGGACTGCTCCAACTTTTATTTTTTGCAGGGAAAGCCTAAGATAATGGACATGTGGAAAGTTTTATGCATTTCAGGCGATAACCCTCTGCGCGGAGGGGAGCCGGGCCCTCAGGCCTCCAAGTACTTGGCTCCTCTGCTAGGAGCAATGGCCTCAGGGTGCAGCAGGGGAAATTTAGGTTGGAGATTAAGATGAACTTTCTCTGAGGGTGGTCAGGCACCAGAACCAAAGGCAGAAACAATGAGCCTTCACGCTTGGACGCTTTCAAGAGCAGGTTAGACAGACACCTGGCTGGGACAGTTCAGTCCAGGAGGATCCTGCCTGGAGCAGGGGGCAGGACTAGATGACTTTGTGAGGTCCCTTCTAGTCCTGCTTGCCTATAATCCTGTAGGGCAGTATTTCTCAATCCATGGGTCGAGGTCCAATAGTGGTTGCATGAATATAGGAAAGGGTCACAAATAAACTTTAAAAATTGATTCTCCTTTAAAGGAGAACAACATGGGAGACCCTGGCTTTTCCCTTGCAGGCTGGCACAGTTGGCTGCCCGGGGTACCCATACCCCACACACACACTGGGGGCCTGGGGATGGGGGGGCAGCGGGTCAGGAGTGAGGGGCATTGGGTTGGGACTGGCCATTGATGTTTACAAGTGGGTCCTGGTACAAAAAAGGGTGTGAACCACAGCTACAGGCATGGGCAACTGGTGCCTCCTGAGTCGAGGGGGCAGCAGGCAGTCAGTGACCAGGGGGGTCCCCGGTGGCTGATCCTGGGGGTGGGGATCCCCCCGTGGCTAATCCTGCTGACCTGCAAGTGACAGTGGCGCACTGCTGGCACTTAGAGGTGTAGGGGGACCGCTACTCCTGACACCCCCCACTCCTTGGCCGGCGCTCTCAGGGGGTGCACCTGCACCCCCTACGCGTCACCACTGGCCACAGGGCGCCCCCGCTCCCTGCTGAACCAGGGGAGGACGGCAAAGGCTGAGCCCAGCTGCCTTCCGCTTCAAATCAAGATTAGGATTTTTTGGTGAGCTGGAAAAACGGGCCGGAATAAATAGGATGGCATTTAACAAGGCCAAGTGCAGGCGCTGCCTCGGCCTGCCGAAGGGCGCTTGAGCCCGAAAGCTCGCTCTGCGGCAGCTTCCCGACTACGCTCGAGCCGGTCTGAGGAAACGTAGCGCCTGGATCCGAAGCGCCTCGCCTGTCCAAGTAGCCGGCCCCGCAGTGCGGGCGGGCGGCGGCTGGCTCGGCTGCGGGGGAGGACCCGGAGGGGACAGCAGGTCCCCAGCTGCGGACGAGCCAGCTTCGGAGGAGCGCTGCCGAGCAAGCGGTGGCATCACCACCCCGCGCCGGGCTCCACCTCCCGCGCCGGGCGGGGGCTGCGCGTCGTGACTGGCAGCCGGGCACTGCGGGGCGATGCTGCTGCTGCTGCTGCTGGTGCTGGGCAGCCTGCGGGGCTGGGGCGCGGCCGGGCCGGGGGCATCGCCCGCGCCCTGCCAGGCGCCGCTGCAGTGGGAAGGGCGCACCGTGGCCTACGACCACACCACGGGCCGCAACACCCGCGCCGCCGTCTCCTACGACGGCCCTGGCCAGCGCGTCCGCCTGCTGGAGGAGAGGAAGGGGCTCATCCCCTGCAAGAAGTAGGTGCCCTGCCCCGCGGGGCCGGGGGGAGGCGAGGGAGGGACCCCCCCTTCTCCCTGCCCCTTTGCAGCCCCTCCCCCAATGGGCCGCACCTCCCCTCGCCTCTTCCCCTCAGCCTGGGCTTCTGCAGCAACCCCCACCCCGGGGTCCCTGGAGCCGCCCCAAGGGCGAGGGGCCCACCCGGAGTCCATGCCAAGAGCCAGAGCCTGCCGAAGAGCGGCGCTCTCCTGTAGTCCAAAAAACCCACAAAAACAACGTTTTTTTTTCTGATGGGGTTAGAAAAGCCTATGCAGGCGGTGCTGTCACCGTCGCCCAGCTCCTGCTCAGGCCACGGCTTTGACCCGCCTCAGGTCCGGACCGAGGAATGTGGTGGTCAGGGCCGGCCTACAGTTTTTTGAGGCCCCCTGCAAGATATAGTTTTGGGGCATCCTGATGCAAAGAAGCCAGCATCGTGGATTCGGCAAGGGGGTTGTGGCGAGTGGCCGGAGAAGCTGGCAGCAGAAGTGGGGAGTGGCAAGTGGCCGGACCTGAAGCAGGTGGAGGGGGGCAAGTGGCTAGATGCAGGGGGCCCCTTGTCTGCAGGCCCCCTGCAGCCACAGGTTTCATAGGATAGGACAGGCCGGCCCTGCAGGCGTCTGCTAAATTACGTCTTGGTAGGGTCATGGTGATGTGGTTCCCACAGTGGTCTAGGTGGAGGTGACAAGGTGTCATCCGCAGCCACCCTGGCCTCTCGCAAATAAATCATAGCTTTTGGTGGGGCAAAAATGTGTCAGCTTTTGTAGCACCCTTTCGACCACTTCCCAAACCAGTAGGCAACCTTTTATTTTCTGGTTGTTACTTGGACTCTCCCGGGTCAGTGGAAACCCTAGGTCCAATTCTGCTGTTATGGAGGCCTCTGTAAATCTGAAATCAATCCATTTTCAAAGGAGTGGACTGCAATGGATTTACAGCAGCCTAGCTAAGAGCAGGGTATGGCCTTCTGGTTTTCACATTACTTATCTCAGTGAATGTGAGTGTTTCTAGCATGGCCTGATGAGATGATTTCTGCTGTAATGACAGAGGTCTCCCCACCTGATTCCATTTATTCCTTTGGTGCTGAGGAGAAAGAAATGAGGCTGTAGGAAGCTAATGGTGAATAATAATATTTCTAATGGGCTGGGTTGTCATATCATAGAGGCAGTTACTTGTTCAGACATGAAACCAAGTGACAGAAAGACAGCCCTGAGGTCGTGACTAATCTCCAGGCCCAATAGATAGAGATTTATCATTTTCACCTTGTAAAGTTTATTGTGGCAGATTTTTTCCACTTTTTTGTTTTGCTTTGTTATGGAATTCAAAGGCATTCCAAATGTCATTTGGATATTAGTTGATCTAATAAATATTATTAGTTGGTCTAATAAAAGATATCACATCTACCCTTCTCTTTCAAATATCATTGTATTTTTTTCAAAACGTGTATCTCAAGTAGACCAAATTAAACTGGGAGACTAGTGTCTCAAAAGCCAACATCAGCAAGGCCTTTGAAACAGTCTCCCATGACATTCTGATTAGTAAGCTAATGAACTGTGGTCTAGAAGATAACACTGTTATTTCGTAGGGCCATAACAGGTTGAATAACTGTGCTTAAGGAGTAGTCATCATTCTGCAATACCTACCTGGCAGGAGGTGTCAAGTGGGATCCCTAGGGCTTTGTCTGGGGTCCAGAACTTTTCAAGATCTTCATTTATGACTTAGAGGACAGGGTTACTTGATCTTATAAAATGTGCATCTTGTAAAATGACATACATCTCCAAACTGCATAGGATTGCAGTCACTTTAAGTCAAGATTAGGATTCAAAATGACTTTGGTAAATTGGAAAAATGGCCTGAAATAAATAGGATGAAATTTAGTAAGGACAAGTACAAAGTACTGCATTTAGGACAGGACAATTAAATGCACAATACAAAATGAGAGGTGAGTGGCTAGGCTGCAGGGAAGGACCTGGACGTTATAGTAGATCACAAACAATGAGTCAGCTTTGTAGTATTGCTGCAAAGCAAGCTAATAGCATCCCATCATGTATTAATAGGGTGAGGTGAGCATGCTAGTAGGGGGGGAAAGACTGCAG